GCTTGTTGATCAGCTTACTGATGTCAAGGTCTACTTTGTCTAGGGAGAGAAAAAATACTGGATAAGGTTTGATCCTGTGTGCATGTCATAAATTCTATATACTCAAAAGAACTAAAATATAATTTAATATATGGAGAATCTATGTAAATTATTACTTGGTCCTATGATAAAGAATTCAATGGTGACTTTATCATGGTGACTTGGTCCTTGCCTGCATTCAAGTCACCAGTTTCATTTAAAGATAAAAGGGTTACATTTTTTTTTTCCCTTAATATATTATTAAGCCTTGCCTCTATAACTAAGTAAAGTAAATAGGAAAACTTGTTTTTTAAGGCTTCAATCAATTTTGGTACAGAGATTATAAGGAAAGACGACTGTAATAGTTTGTGGTGTCCTTGCTTAAAGAATTGATTGAAACTTGTTACCTAAGATGGGGCCTGAATTAGGTGGTATAACTATTAATTAAATTACTTATAAAGGACACAACTTTTGTAGATTGTAGTTTGGGATATACGTTTTTTTGGGAAATTGAAATCAGTGAAACTGACAAAATTAATTCGATTCATGGACCACATTATATAACTGATTTAACTCTCGTTATATTATAAATTATAGTAATAGACATTAATTATCATTTTTATTATGATCTAAAATAAAAATGTCAACGTTACATAAATTAACAGATTTAAGATTTCGGGATGAATAATAGCATTAATGTCCGAACGGGGATAAGGAATTTCCCACAATTTGAAATTTTTTCAAGTTGAGCCGATTTTGAACTTACAATAATTGAGCTCAAGTTCAAGTTTTTATCCAGTTGAACGAAACTTGATTCGTTAACCAAATAAGACTATATACAAGCACGAGCATGGATGAATACTACAGACTTGAACTCGAATCCAACAATATAAAATTATATACAAAATTTTATTCTTAACAACTCAATTAAATGATTCATTTCTATATATTTATTTTCTCATTTTTTTCTTTCTTTTGTTTCAGTAATAATAAAGATTATAACAAAATAGAAGTGCAACCATTGCATTTATGTTGGTGCCCATATAATTTTGTATAAGAAAAAAGTAAGAAAAGAAAAGTATAAAATTTGTTCGAGCGGTGAACTTTGACCTGAAAAATAATATCTTTTTAATAAAGATATACAGATATTTATCCATTAGAGTTGGTTTTACATTTTTCTTCAAGAACTCGTATTGTAGAGTAGAAGTATGTTTTTTGGATTAAAAAAAAAATGATCCACGATAATGACACGCAACCTAATATGGTTTAAGGTAAGCCTAAAAGTCAATTAACTTGAGCTTTAATGACCTCCATTAGAAGATAAGTCGTAATTGAAATAAATTACAAGTAAATTACAACATTCATGTCTTACACAAGTGCTAATAGAAAAATTGTACCTAAACAGAAGTTTTTATTTTCTATTATTATTATTTTTTATTATTATTTCTAGTACTACTACTATTAGTTAATGACACTTTGACTTGTAGATAACTCTATTAAATTGACAAATAATTTCATTAGTTTTTAATTAATTTTGATAGATAATATAATTTTTATTATAAAGGTAAACATATATTCATTATATATTCAATATATATGTTAAAATAAAAGTTCAAATAATTAATTTAATATATCATATAAAAATTTAATAAAAATACAAAACTTAACAATTTTTAAAATATATTTATAATTTAAATTAGTCAACATGTTATAATTTGAAAATTCCTAATCTATATGAACTATTTTAAAGTATGAGAAATTACACATAAAATTATGAAATGCCATATTTCAACACATAAAATTATAAACCACTAGAGTATGTGTGGAAGGATTTTTTTTAAAATTATTTTTTAAAACATTCAATTCAAGTTTTCAACTATTATTGTTTGATTTAAATATATACATTATGAAATGCAATAAAACTCGAAAAAATAAAAAGAGGGAAATCGTCTTCCTTGGAATTGCAGACCAAGTCGTGTTCCTCCCATATCTTGTGGAAACCCACCACCACCATCAACCCATCATCATCATCTCCACACACGCTTGTTTTGAATAATTCATTATATTCGAGAGAGAGAGAGAGAGAGAGAGCTTGAACAGTAGTTTATGTACACAGTCGATGTACAAGTCAACTCTCCGCAGATTCCGATTTTGGGAGGAAAAAAAAAAGAAAACCATATATAGGCTTAACGAGCTTCACCCCTCTCTCTGAATCGCCCTAAAAATCATTTTTTTTTTCTTGGGATTTTCCCAATTTTTATGTTTTTTTTACACAGTGAAAAGGGTAATTGATTGGGGGTTTATGGATCTAGCGATGAGAGAAATTAGCCGGGAAGCAGAACAGTTTACCACCGCCGCCGGTGGTGGTTCGAGGATTCCAGAGGCGGCGATTGCCATCGGGGACGATGAGATCTCCGACTCAAATGTAAAGCCAAATGCTTTGGACGAGGCTGCGAAAATGGAGGTTGTTGGAGATGAACGGCGCTCGTCTTTTGTGATCGACATCAAGAGGGACAGTCAGAGAATCTGCAGAATATGCCATTTGAGTGCCAAGGAGAGCGGGAAGACCTCGCCTGAGTTAATCGAGCTCGGCTGCGGATGTAAAGGGGAGCTCGGCGTTGCCCATTCACATTGTGCCGAGGCGTGGTTTAGGGTGAAGGGGAACAGGTAATTTTCGACTGTCATTCAAAATATTTTGAAGGTGTTATTGATTTGTTTTTCTTGTTGTTGTTCTCGTTTTGCTTGATTGTGTCCATTCATATATAGTGGGTTTTTGTAATTTATGGATAAACAGTAAAAAAGAAAGAATATTGAGCTCGGCATGGGTGATTTGGTTAAGTTTTGAAGGATGAATGTAAGGTCAAGCAGTGAAAATTCAGTGTTATATCATGAAAACGTGCGAATTTGAGAATTTGAAACGATTACAAGGAAGAATATCATGTTTTTGCAAAATTGAGGTTCTTTGTTATCATGATTTGGCAGCTCAGGATAATTATTTGTTCCACACCCAGAAAATATATCATGGTTTATATGTGCTAACTCAGCTGAATCACATGTGGTTATATAAGCCCAAGTTTGAAGAATATAACAGGTGCTAGTTGAACGGCAATAGACACCTTTAGCTGCCGCCTAGTATTGTATATTTAATTTTCGGCAACTTTACGATGCATAGAAGAAGTAATTCACACAAATACAATTGGAATTCGAATTTGAAGTGACGAAAGTCTAGAATTTATGCCTAAATGAAGGCCAAAACTACGTCGTTTCAGGGTAAGAATCTGCGTTACAAAAATAAAAATTTGTGCTGATTAATCACCTATGCAATTGTTTGGCCGATTTTTTTCACACTGTTTCTGCCTATTCTAGTTGAGTTTTTAGGACACTATAGCTTCGGCAACTTAAGTTCTCTGTTGAGCTCTTCTTAGCAGCCAACACTAAAATCATGTGTCGGCTCAGGTGCATTTTCTGGTTAGATTTTTTTTTTTTTTTTNNNTTTTCTCCTTTTTCCTATAGTTGATTGCTACAAAAGAGATCGACTAACCTCTTACTTCAACCCTTCAGTAAGCATTACTGGAAATTTAAATTGTTAGTAAGTGGGACGTTAATTCAAACTTGTTCTGTTCCCTTCAGTGATGAAGGTTCTCAGCTTGTTATCTCTTGAGAGGCACGCATTTTCCCACTTGTACAATTAGACTATAAATGAGTAGTACTCTGTCAATGACAAGTTTTCACGAACCGTAATTCATACTTTCATTCTTGATCGTTTACACTTTTTAAAATTTGTCACGAGAGTCCAATTTTTAACTCACCTTTAACTTGTGTTTGCAGATTGTGTGAAATATGTGGCGAGACTGCCAAGAATATCACGGGTATAAATGATGCTGGATTTATGGAGGAGTGGAATGAGAGTCGATCGGCCGATACTTTTAGTAGCTCTCCCGAGGGCAATAGAAGGTGTTTGCACGGGCAGCCCTTGTGTAATTTCTTAATGGCGTGTTTGGTAATAGCTTTTGTTTTGCCGTGGTTTTTCCGCGTAAACATGTTTTAGCCGTACAGTTTAGCTTAAATCTGCAAAAGCATTGGCGCAGATCCAAACAGAATATTGATTGATGTACCAACATGAACCACATTTTTTGTTGGCAATTGATTTGCATTGTCCAATGGGAGCCTATAATTTTTATTTTTGTTGGTTGAGTGAA